AAAAAAGAAAATTACAGGCCAATCTCTGTAGTGAACATAGACGCAAAAATCACTAATAAAATACTGGCAAAGAGAATGCAGCAAGTCATCAGGAAGATTATGCACCACGATTAAGTGGGATTCATCCCAGGAATGCAGGGGAGATTCAACATACACAAATCAATAAAATACACCATGTCAGCAAAGCCACAGATAAGAACTGTACAGTCATCTCAAAAGATGCAGAAAAATATTTTGACAAAACCCAACATTCATTCATGATAAAAGCCCTATAGCAAATTAGAATAGATGGTTTCTACCTCAATCTGTTAAAACCTATATATGATAAACCAACATCCAATATCTTATTAACTGAACAAAAACTGAAAATTTTCAACCTAAAATCAGGAACAAGACAAAGATGTCCATACTCACCACTCCTCGTCAATATAGTTCTGGAAACGTTACCCAGAGCAATTATACAAGAGAGAGAAATAAAAGGAATAAGGATAGGAAAGGACGAAGTTAAATTATCATTATTAGCAAGTGATATCATACATTATATAGAAGACCCCCAAAACTTCATTGAAAGTCTCCTAGACCTACTAACCAAATTCAGTAATGTAGCTAAACACAAGGTCAACACTCAAAAATCAATAGTAACAACAAACTCATTGAGAGAGAAGAGAAACCATATCCTTCATTATAGCATTCCAAAAAATGAAATACTAGGAATCAATGCAACATAGGAAGTAAAAGATCAATACAGTGAAAACTACATTACACTGAAAAAGGAAATCCAAGAGGATTTCATAAAATGGAAATATATTTTCTATTCATGCATAGGAAGAACAAACGTTGTGAAAATGGCCAGCCTCCTAAAACTGTTATACAGATCCAACGAAATTCCAATCAAAATATCATTTGCATACCTCACTGATCTAGAGAAATCATCCCTAAAATTCATCTGGAACCAGAAGAGACCTAGAATAGCAAAGCCAATTCTGGGCAACAAAGCTAAGGCAAGAGGCATCACAATTCCTGACTTGAAATTATATTGCAAAGCTACTGTGATAAAAGCAGGATTGTATTGGAATAAGAACAGACCTGAAGATCAATGGAGTAGATTAGAAGATACAGCCACAACTACAAACACACTCAGCCACCTCATCTTTGACAAAGGAGCCAAACATGTACACTGGAAGAAAGATAGCCTCTTTAATAAACAGTGCTGGAAAAGCTGGCTCTCCATATGCCAAAAAACTAAAACTAGATCCATGTTATCACGATGCATTAAACTAAAGTCAAAGTGGATCAAAGATCTAAATATTAAAACAGAAACACTAAATCTGATGTAGAAATCTTGACGCGATAGAAGTAGGCAGACAGTTCATGAACAAAAATCAAACTGTATGGGAAACATTTCCCAGAATCAACAACTGGGATCTCATCTTATTAGAAAGTTTTTTTTTAATGTCAAAAGAAATCTGCAACAAAGTGAAAAGAAAACCCACGAATTGAGAAAATATCTTAGCCAACTGTCCCTTAGACAAAGGACTTCTATCTAGAACTTCTAAAGAATTTTTTAAAAATTAGGCCCCCAAAATTCAAGGACTCCATCCAAAAATGGGCATCTGAGATAAATACACACTTCTTAAAGAAATATAGATTGCAAATAAATATATGAAAAAGTGTTCAATATCAATGGTCACTTGGGAAATGCAAATTAAAACAACATTGAGATTCCATGTCACCCAGAAAGAATAGCCAGGATCAAGAAATCAACTAAAAACAAATGCTGGTGAGGCTGTGGGGGAAAAGGCACCCTTCTCCACTGTTAGTGGGAATGTTGCCACCATTGTGGAAACCAGTGTGAAGATTCCTCAAAAAGCTAGGATAAGAGATTCCATTTGACCCAGCTATCCCACTTCTGATTTTCCCACAAGAATTGAAAACATATCATAGTGGTATATGTTCACCCATGTTTATAGCAGCACAATTTGTGATAGTCAAATCTTGGAAAGAGCCCAAGTGCCCATCAATCAAAGAATGGATTTTAAAAAGTGGTATTTTTATACAATGGAGTACTACTCAGCTATAAAGAAAAATTGTGTTGAGACCTTTATAAGCAAATGGATGCAACTTGAGACCATATTCATAAGTGAAATAAATCAAACTCACATGTGTAAATCCCATATTGTCTCCTTAGTGTAAGAAACTGAAAAATGATATATGTTCCAAATTCTACAATAAATACTGTTTAAAGATAAGAAACTGTTCCAAGAGGAAAAGTAATTGGAATAAGGGAAAGGAGAAAAGAAGGAAGAGAAAATGAGCTAGAGAAAGAGAATGAGAGAGATAAAATTACTATACTACTAATTGTATTAGTTATTGAAAAGAACAGTTAATACTCATACGTTTAAATCAGTTTTAAATGTCTGTATCTGTTAATCTAAGCAGCCCTCTTGAAGGTAACAATACACAATGTTACAACTATCGTCAACTTCCTATCATCTTGTTTTGTAAACCTATACTGTTAGTGTACTTGGTTTCTTGTTTGTTTGTCTGTATTCCTTTTTTCCTTTTCTATGTCTTTTAAATCTTAAATAAAAAAGACACATCTATTTTGACTTTATAAAAAAGAATTAGTGGTTTATTATCATTATTATTGTCATTATCTACTGTAAAAATACATTGCTGTAGTATTTATTCAAACAGCAGTTTCCAGACTCCTTAATCAGTCCACTGTTGAAGATTGTCTTCTCTATTTACCTTGTTCAGTGTGAAAAATGACTAGTATTTGATTAGATCATGAACATTTAATTTTAGTATTTAAAGTAGTCCAGTCCTTGTCAAAGTCCTTCCTATGAATCATTTCTATTTGTATGATTTCATTTCAGGCCCTATCAAGCTGTATTTATTTTGAAGTTTTACTGGTATCAGAGTTTTCCCACAGCATACACAGCAGGGCACAAAATATCTTTCACTGCAGTGGGAACCACAAAGCATGAAGAATGTAGGGCATAATTAATATGGTAGCCAGAGTTGAACAGTTTTTCCCAAGGAGGCTATGAATCTGGACCCTTCCCGCCCCCCCCCCCATTTTTATTGGTACCAAGGATCGAACTCACGACTGCCTGCCTGCAAGGCAGGAGCTTATGCCGCTGAGCTAAATCCCCAGCCCCTGAATCTGAACCCTTCTTAATAGCTGCTCTCCAGCTTTTGTTTTCCTTTGCAGAGTTTTCAATAGTTCTGTCATTGGAGAGTGATTTTCCCAGGATTGATAATTTTGGAACTGAGTCTGGGAAACAAGCAACCTAAAATCCAGGTAAAAAGTGTGGAGTGAGAAGAGTTCTTCAGACTGGTCCATTATTATTTTGATAGATTTCTTCACTTTTAAACTACTAAATAATTCTGCTACATAGCTAAAAATGGTCCTTAATGAGAGAAGATGTGTAACTTTAGTGCAGGGTAAGAATAAAGCATGTAGGTAAGATGAGGGAAAGAGTAACACTGACTCAGTCAATCTTATTCTCATGAAAATATCAAATAACAAACTACAAAGCACGATAACATTATTAATCAAAATCAGTCTTTTCATGGACAAGCATGTTGCATTAAGAAAGGCTTTAGAGCAACTTTCCAAGTTCTGAAAACAGTGTCCAATTAAAGCACGTCCTTAGATTTCTTGGAGGTCCCGTGGGTAAGATTCCTAAAAAAAGAACAGTGAAACCGAAGTAGAGGCTGAGTTCTTTGCACTGAAGATCAGGAGGTGCAGAATCACTTGAGAATCTCACTGGTGCTTGTTCCAGACATAGGACAGATTCTGAAACCTAAAGAAATGTGTTGAATAAGTAGCCTTTGTAATGAGCTGAATATTTAGTCCACAGTCAAAATTTGAGGTCCTAGAAAAATGCATTTAAGAGGTCCCTCTTTAGAATATAATAGTTTTCTGTATTGTCTACACTCTATTTAGCACTCACCAAGCACACTGTGTGTGAAATTGTCTAGTGTCTTCAGAATGGAAAGTTCTGAAGGAATTTTAAGAATTAATGGATGCTTTTGTTTTTCCAGTTGGTTCTAAAAATGGATGATAAAATTAGACAAGACATTCCTAGTCATCTAATTGTAATTCAGTTCCTTACCTTTTCAGACTTACCCTGCTTACTATGCTGGTGATTTTTGAGATTAACACCCACAACCTATTTAACAAGAAGTATGAAATATCAGCTATCAGATACTAATGGGGCTGGTTTTAGAGCTTCACATTCAAGCTTCAGAACATTATTGTAGCTGTGCATAGTTATTTTAAAATGTTCTTTATCAGGGAACTGGCCTAGATCCCCAATCTCCCAAATGAGTATATGGCGAAGTCTTAAAATAAATGAGACAAATGGTATGATTTTAGGGCTTCAGGAGGATCAAAACCCTTCTGCAGAGTTGGAGACTCTGAGGGTTAAGACAGGGGATGTTTCTGGATAGCCTGCATTTATTTAGGGGGTTAGAGTGGAAAAGGCAGGAAATTGAACAGACCTTGGGAATGGTTCAAGGGCTTTGCCAAGTAACAAACCATGTCTGATTTAGAAGAACTGTCTAATGAGAAGATCTCCATGTTGCATTTCACTACAGGAGTTAAATGCCTGAAGCTACAAGTAATTGGAGTTGGAGCTAGGTGTCCTCAGCCATTATCTTATCTTGCCCCAGCCATGCAGCAGCCTTGCAAATGTGTTCAATTTCCAGTATCAATGGCTCCCAACAGTTCTTAGTACAAGTTTGTGTACTCTACCCTAAGATTTTTATCTGTACTCTCTGAACCCGGTAGAAGCCTCTGAAGCACTATGGATGCGTATCAGCCAGCTTTGCTTTGTATACATAAATACTACCATCATGTATCAGTTTGCCAGGGGGCCATAACAAAGAGCTGCAGACTATAGTTTAAGACAAGTATAATTTCTCATAATTCCAGAGTCTATGAGATCAATGTATCAACAGTACTGTTTCATTCTGTGACTTCTCTCCTGGGTTTGTGGTAGGCTGTCTTTTTATTGTATTTTCTCTGTATGCATCTCAGATATTCTCATCTTCTTATGCAGATATCAGTCATATTGGATTACAACCCATTCAACTGACTTGTGTAACTTTAATTTCCTTTTTAAAAATTTCACAGCCAAATGCAGATACTTTCTGAGATAATGAGGTTTAGTACTTCGACATATAGTTGAAGTTTATAATTCAGCCCATAACATTTGAGACGTTGGCAGTATTGCCTATTAGTGCTTTAGCAAATGACCAACATTTTAGAAAGGAAAATAATCATGCTTTTCCCTTCTTGATACATAAAAGGACATTGTTATGTTCTCCCCCAGACCACCTGTACTCACAGGTGTGACTTCTCCGAAGTGACTGAGTAATCTGGGTGGAAATGATTCTCATCAGTGGATTAGTCAATTGAGGAGTTTAGAGTTAAATGTGAGGTTGGAGGTGAAGCCTGGCTGGAGGAAATGGGTCTCTGGGGGCAGGAACTGGAAGGGTTTATTCTTCTTCTCTCCTCCCTTGATGGCTTGCTGTTTCTCAATTGCCATTCCAGGAACAAATCTCCTCAGCCGTGCTCCACTGCCACGCTCCCTGCCCTGGAACCAGCCAGTGGACTAGAACTACTGTAAAGCAGGAGCCCAAAACAAACTTTTCCTCTCTTACCTTGTTGTGTCCCAGTGACAAGGAAAGTGAGTAAGACAGTCATCATGAAAAATGAAAGAAAAAGATAAAACAACAGATAAAGTGAAAGAGGAAAAAAGTGAGATATGTTATCTCTATTTTATTTACCAATGAAAGGCCTCCTGTTATGTAAACATTTTAAATTCCATCCACTCCTTAGTAGGATTCCCACAGTAGCCTTTACCTTCATTAAGTTTTGTTAGGTCAATCAGAATATCTAATTCATATATTGTAAATTTCCTAATGACTTATTTAAGTCTATAGAAAAAAAATAAATTGAAATATTTTATAAATGTTCAAAAGCTCCATGACATTCTCATACTGAATAATTTATACTGAATACTTTGAAAGGATTTTAGGTGAAACTTTTTTAGATGAAAATTTTATAAATAGTGCTAGCTGTTTGTTGAAAGCAAAAACCAATAGAATACATCTTTCTGTAATGTTCTCTTGTTTGAATAGAAATTAAAAAACACACTCCTCTTTCTGCTATGAATAAGTGACTCTGTCTAGACCTTTGTCCTTGGAGATCAGTTTCTGAAACACTCATCTTTCCACAGGGAGAGGAGCATGTGTCCTGGATCTCTGCCATACTGCTATGTAGTTTTCAGTGCCGATAAATAAAAGATACTCCATTAGATTCTATTCATCTTTTGAGAAATCTGTTACCACTGCAGATATATGATGCAGCCTGCAGCTGTGTAATAAGGACAGGAGACTCAGACCACTTACCATATTCTCAGCCAACATCCTTGACTCCCTGAAGAAAAATAATGTACAGTGTTAATCGGCTCTCCTAATTAGACACACACATAAGATTATTAACTGAATACTGCAAAAATAGAAGAAATAGAGCACTTTCCAATTATGTTGATTCATGACTCCAGTGTTGCTCCTGGTTGTCCTGATGTAATGTGATAAATTTTTTGTTAAAGCTATTTTAATAGACCTGATTTTAGTAACAGAGAAAGAGAATTATTTTAGACAGAAGAGTATTTAACACTTCCAAATATATTTACCTTTGCTTTACATTTTGACTTTTCTAGTTTATTTTGAAATTTTGCATCTGTTCTCTAATATAATGATACATAATATAAGTTGAACATGTTTGAAATGGATTTCCTTCAGCTTTACAATCTGATGCCAATCATTTCATAGTGTAATAATTTTATAGATGTTAAATTTAATTGTTTTAAATAAATTATTTGAAAAAATTTTAGTAAATGCAAAGACACATATGGCAGCTAAACTGGATTATGAGCTTGACTGGCAGCAGATTCACCAGTGGATTAACAAAGCACAGCTCTGTGTGTGACTGGGTGGAAATGTTCCTTGGGTGTTCTGTCTGATCCCAGGTCTGTTTCTTTCTCTGTTACTGTTCCCCATTGTCTTTCCAGGCCACGATGAGCTAAGCAGCCCTGCCTGCCATGCCTTTCTGCCATGATGTTCTTGCCTTTGAGCCAATTGGTCATGGACTGGATCCCATGAAACCCTGAGCTAAATAAACCATTTTCTCGTTGTGTAAAGCATCTGGCAACAGGAAAACTGAACAGCACAATAGACCTGGCCAACTCACTTTTGCTTCTAGAATTTTTTTTAGATGCTTGATCTTTGTGTGTGTGTGTGTATTTACCTAACTAGAAAAGGCTTTCTACTTTTGCTTCTTTTTTATCCAATTAGTAACCGTTCTATGTCCACAACTAAGCCCATTCTTTACTTTTACAAGCATTATTTTGGCATGTGTATTTGTCACAGCTGAGAAAATAGTAGCAAAATGATTGTTCTTTTTGTTTTATTTCTGAAAATGCTATGGGGTCAGAGATTTCATGTGTGATCATAATAGTTATTTATGTGTGCAAGTTTAATTCATCTTCACAAATTTATGAGGTAAATAGAGTTAACCTTTACCTTTTAAAGAGCATAGAGCTACTGAAGGAAAAGATCAGTTGCAAGTATTTGTTGCTGCACCATGTGATGCTTCACAATACGGAGCCAGTACACCTTATCATACACTGGTTGTGTGATACCCCATCATGTAAAAAGGAAGTGGCCTTAGGTAAGTCCCTAAACAGAGATCTGCGCTCAGAAAATGCAGAGCATTCTCAAAATTGATGAAAACAGCAGAAAGTTCACTTCTTCAGTGTAAACTCTTATTGGTTTTAGGATGCATTTCTTGAAGTGCAACTGCTAAGTCAACTTACTAAATGATTTTAATATACATTTTAAAATAATGATTTAGGAGCTACAATGTTTAGTCATAGGGAACTTGTAAATATACATAATAGATCTTTTTCTCTCTGTTGCCCTCAATTCCCTTCAATCCATCTTTCTCTTTCTATTTACAAAATTTTGTTCCTTACTTTCCTTCCATTCTTTTTATTTTTATTTCTATGGTCTCCCTTTCATTCCCCCACCCCTGTCCCTTGTTCCCCTTCCCGGGTCAACATTTTTTCCCTGTTTCCCAATATCTATAGTTAGAGATTTTTAAACTATAAATAATTTTTTTTATTTTTCCTTTTGATGATCGTATTGTGAACATATTTGAATATTTTTTTCTTATACATATACTTAAATAAATATTTGGGAGACCTCTAGCTAGAGGCTTTATAGGAATTAAGAGATTTAGATATGTAAACAAATATATGTTCATAGTCTGAATTTTGATAACTGAAATAAGAATTAAAACTTTAGTTTACAATCTTTCTCAACTGTTTAATAACTATAAGAAAAGTCTTCTTGCAGTTAGTCCGGTCACTTGGAATTTCTTCTTATTCTGATGAAAACACTCAACAAAAACAAATTTTCATTTAGTATTTTAAATAAGAAATTTAAGGGAAATTTGAACATAGAATTAGAAAAAATCCTATGGGACTGAGGAAAAGATGATTGTCTGCCATGGAGAACTTGATTAAGAGAAATTTATGAATAATATTTAGCTGCCTGAAGAATTATTAGACTGAGTGTACAAACAAGTTGTGAAGACAAAAAAGGTTGAATTCAACTGGTGTTTATATAAGATGTAAAAATAGACTACAAAAGGTCTTTTATTAATTATATGATACAATATTACATTTTATAGTCAGAATGATTTAACAAACAAATACATTTTCTGACATAGATGGTTTGGAACTATAGTATTTCTATATAACTACTGAACAATAATTTTCTCTCCAAACAGTTTTCTATATCTTTTAGTAACATGAATTTCAAGTTTTGGGGGAATAAAAAGCTTTAAAACATTATTGATGTTTTTATATAGTGTTGAAGAAAATTTCTTAAATGTCACCTTATATATTCAAATCAAACAGGAAAAATACTAGATCCGGAATACTTTCGATATTATAAGAAACATCTCTTCTTATTAATTTGTTGTAATTACTGTGTATAAGCACATTATAATTAGAGCTCAAAAATACACAAACATTATAGATTCTCCCAAAATCTTTTTTATTCATTTATTTTATGCTTTTCTGAACATGTATACTGGAAGTCTGTCTTACCAATCTGCCCATTCTTCACTCACCTGGGATGGTAAAGGTTGAGTTGATCTCCAAAATGGATATTCCTTCCAAAGCTTTTCAGAATCACGGGTACAAAGAATCTGGTAAAAGTTGGAATAGAATTTGTTGTGCCTTTTTGTTTTTCTCCCTTGACAAGTCAACATAATTGATGAAACATTTGACACAGCGCTATTTAGTAACTAGGCTAAGGATGTAAAACTGCCAATAAAGATAGAAATGTTAATTCTGTCACTGTAGCTGTAGTTCTTCAGGCTACTGATAGAAACTGCTATAAGTGATGCTATTTTAACTCATGCATGTGGAAGGACAAAAGATGTAAGCAGATAATTAATGATCCCAATCAGTGTTCCTTGACTTCTTTTACTCCCTATAACTTCCATTGTGGGTTGGAAACACTTTACTTATCAGAGAATATTACTGATGGGGCTATCAGACAGCTGAGTAATGTGCTGATGGAAGGCTGAGAATAAGGTTGAAAAATACTATAATGAAAAAAAAGTGTTTCCTATGGAACCTCAAAATATGGGGTAAGCAATAATAATGGCCACTCACATCAAGAGATTTCACTGTGCCTGGCTCTTTCCTAAAAACCGTATCATTTATTCCTTATAACAATCACATGAGACAAGTAAAATATAATTTCCATTTGATGAATGAGAAAGCTGGCAATTAGAGGTTAGATGCTAACTCTGAGTCATCCTTGTAACTTCCTTGTTTAACTTGTACTTGTGTCTCTATTCTCAGAAACCTACCTTACTCACCAGAGTTAAGTTCATTTGGAGGGATTATCAGTATTTTTCCTTGAAATTTTAGACTATAAAATATTTAAATTTCCTTTCTATCTGGCTTTCAGGTTTTTTTTTTTCTGGAGTTTGAGCCCAGAACCTTCACACTGAGCAACCTTTCTAACCCTTTTTCTATTTCTTTATTTTGAGACAGGATCTTGGCAAGTTAGCAACTTGTCCATATTAGGCTCAAACTTGTGATTCTTCTGCCTCAGACTGCCGGAGTACTAGGATTACAGGCATGTGATACCATACCAGGTTTACCTTTAAGGTCTTTAATTTTGGGATCTTGCATGTCTTCACATTTTTAAAGTCACACAAGTTCACATGGCATTTTCCTGGAGTCGTGTTTATAGTCCTTCTGCATTGCTGTTACTGCATTACTTCTGCATTACTATTTCTCCTCCTTTTCCTTCCTGCCCTTTCTTTCTCTTCTTCTTTTCTTTCTTCTCTTCTTCCTCCTCCTTCCTTCTTTTCCTCTTTCATCTGTTACTCTTCTTGTTCTTCTTATTTGGCAGCATATAATTCTACAGAAGCAGTAGGGAGTTATTCATGGATTTATTTATAGGGACTTCTTTAGACACTGTTATGGTTGGTGTCTGGATGTCCCCCCAACGCCTCTTGTGAACATGGTTGGGTAGGCTTTTCAGAAGTGGCTGAATCTAGAGTTTGTGATTGGTTTGTAGTCCAGTGCTGGCATTAAGGGTGTGACTGCTACACCTGCCCTAGCGTAGGTAGCCTACATACAATATAAAAGACAAAGAATCTTGTTGCTTTTGTTGTCTTCTGTCACCATGAACTGTGGCCCCTCTGCCAACCCACCCTGCCTTGGATTCAGCTAATGATGGACTGAAACCTCTACAAACTGTAAGCTACATAAACTTTTACCCCTTTAACTTTGGTAATGAGGTATTTTGTCCCAGCAACAAGAAAAGTGAGTAAGACAGACCCTAAAACTCCTCTGCATTGTTGTTCATGTTTATTTGGAGTAACCCTATTGCTCTGTCTCAAATTTTCCAAAATCATACAAAATGTCATCCTAAAACTATGCTTTAGGCTTTCTCTTTCATGAGATTAAAGAAGAAGCCTATGGAGTTCACATGGGATCAAGTCTTTCATACAATTTCAGAAAATAGAGGATGGTAAAGACAGAGGATAAGAGGCAGGTGGTTCAAGTTGCAGCATTAAATTACCCCTTGTGCTACTATAATTGTGCATTGTTCACCAAAGACAAAGATTATATTTTCTCCACTTAAACACATTAAATCATTTCTTCCTCCTTCATTAATCACTTTGTATTTAAGTGTTGTTAAGACAAAATACCCAATACCTGAAGTTAAAAGAGGAAAAGGTTTATTTAGCTCATAGTTTCTGGAAGTTTCAGTCCAGTCCATAGTTTGTGAAAGTTTCAGCTGTTTCCAAGGCATGATGGCACATGGCAGAGGAGCAACAGTTCAATATGAGGAAGGCAGAAAAAGCAACAAGAGCAAAAAGGGAATAGGCAAAAGGGAGAAGAGGACAAAAGGGAGGAACAAGTCTCTTTTCCCACCTTATATTGTATGCAGGCTACCTGCCCCAAGCCAGGTATAGCCTTCACACCTATCATCTCAGCATTGGTGATTGCTGATTGATTGGTGAATCAATGACAAATACTAGAATCCCTGATTGCATGAGGCTTTGGGGGGACATCTAAACACAAACCATAGTACTTTATCATGGGCATCTTCCTTGTTTTCAAGTCATTCCACTCTGTTGTCTTCTGTAGCACAAGCTTGCTACACTACTTAAGTGCAAATTCAGTTGCTTTAAAAAGAAAAAGGAGGTGTGGGCTAAGTATTCACTTCAAAATTTGTTAATCTATGCTGTTACTAGATTAATTACAGATAAAACAATCCTAGTATGCATGGTACAATATTTAGATTTCATTCATCAAAGAAAAAGTCGAGTATGTTTGTGGTACTCATTTACAAAATGTGCACATCAGTAATGCTTTCCACTCTCCCACACTCTTTATTTCAATTTTAAAGCTACTTTCAATATTAAAATTGAATTCAGATATGCTAGATTCATTCAGGGTTTCATTGCCACTCACTGATAAAAAAAAGAAAGAAAATAACTTCATTAAATCCGGTTGAATAGTTGTGGTCGCTTAGAAACAGAGTTAAGAGATTACAGGTAGTACATAAACAATATCATTACTGATATTGTCTATAATTAGAAGTTCATTGAATGCCTAGTATATTCATGGCACTTCAAGGAATAGGAAGAATAAAACAGAATCATAATTATAATTGAAAATGGCAATATTTTTGTAAGTTTCTCTTTCATTTCATCCTTTCTTTTTGAGGAAGGGGAGAAGGAGCGAGTGAGTGGACAACAATAATTTTCCCTCAGTGAGGAGCACTAATACAGAAAAATAATACAGTTTCAATTATGAACTCTTGGTTTTGTGAGAACATAAATTCTTGATTTCCATTGTCACTGTCAAATTCAAAGTCTATTCCTAACACAGATGGGTTCCACCTTCTTCTTCCCTGCCCTATCTACACTCATTCTTGGCTTCCAAGAGTAGCTGCCAATTTCAGAGAAGATAGTACCTTTTGGAAGAGTTCCTGTTGGATGACAGCTCTGCCTCTAGAGAGGGAAGTGATCTCAGTTTTAAGGGTTCTCTTTCTATAAAAAACTGCATAGAATTTAACCTACCCATTGCTCCCGATGAAACAACATAGTACATTAACGCCTTGTGAGACATAAAGGACCATAGGAAAGTGTGGAGTTGTACTGTTGCAAGAATCATAACCATCCCCAAATAATTCTCTCTGGTCTGACAATGAGACCAGAAGTGCCTGCCATTTTATTTCCCTCCTTTCACTTAATGCACTAGATCTTGTGGAGCTCTCTGTTAAAGTATAAATATGTCAAATGAAATGGTGTACTAAATTATGGTCATCAGAGTCTATCAAGGTGCACGAGAGGACACCATGTACAGTTGTTTTATTGGCACAATGAAAAGAAATGATCAAAAGCAATGAGAGAAACTTGATTTATGCAATAACATGAACGAATCTCACATATACGCTGTGTAAAAGAATTCAGAAAGACCGAAAACAAAGGTTATATGATATGATCCCATTTTAAAGAGAATCTAAATTGTAAGAATATACACAAATTATAAGAATATACACAAGAATGGTACAATGACATTTTCTGGGGGGATGAAAATGGTGTATACCTTCAAAATTGCATGGGCTACACTAAGGTATGGATTTTGTAAAACTGACTTAAAAGGACATGTCAGGTCTGAGCATCTCACTGTATAAATTAAAGTTTTTAGATATCATCCAATACTATTGTGGTTACTTTTAATAATTCTAATAGTGTATGAAAGTGTGCTACAGTTTCACAGTTGAAAAGTTATAGGCAAAACAGAATTTATTGAAAAAAAAAAAGGTTGGTAACGGGTGGGTTTAGAGACGAAACTCGATTAACCATGTACTGACAAGTTATGGAAGTTGGGTGATACTCACACGGGAGTCCCTTATTCTTTCTACTTCTCTGTGTGTTTGACTATTTCCTATAGTATAAAATTGAAGAAAGAGTCGTCTAGGTCCCCTTTCAGACTTACATGACTTGTTCAAATTTTCAAAGCTAGAGAGCAAAACATCTCCCAAGCTCAACCTCTTTTCTCCTATCCCAAGAAAACAAAACATGAGGCATTACAGAAAAGCTTATTTTATAAAAGAAAGCAAGAAAGCAAGGGTTGCTTAAGCAGTAAATCACTAATATCCCATTTTCTTTACATGTTTTGCATATAATCATCTGTTTCTTGTAGCTTTGTGATTTCAAAAGGTTTCATTATAGAGTTAAACGCCATTTTACTCAAATTTCAGAACCTAAACCAACGCATGGTTTAGAGACAGTGTATTTCTTATAAAAAAAAAAAAAGTATGAAAAACTTGTTTTTCCTTTCAGCGTTCAACCCGCGCTTAGAATACAGACAAAATACAAAGTGTGCAGAGGTGCTTTGGGGAGCAAAGCGCCTGTGGGGGTGCCCATCCCGTGGGATCCGGGAGCAGCTGTTCTCCACGCAGTTTCGAGCGGGCGCACGGCTGAGGGGTACTCTGACCAAGGAGGGCGGTGCCTGCAGCTCCTAGGCCCCCCAGGAGGGAATCCGAGCCAGAAAGGCGAGCCAATTGCAGAATTTGCCTTTCAGAAGAGGTGAAGAAGGTGGCCAGGATAGTCCCGAAGGATGAGTCGCGCCCAAATGACCTCCTAAAGCACGCACGTCCTTGGGTCTTTCTCATTTCTATAGTGAAAGCCGCGCGCCCGCCTGTTGTAGACGGCTGGGGGTGTTTATTCCTGCTCTGCAGAAGGAGGCAGACCCGGGTCTGCACGCGCTGACTGGCGCCCGGGCAGAGGGTGCCGGGGCGAGGAGCTGGCGCCCCCACCTGGATCCGGCGCCCGGCGGTCTTTGGCCCCCGCCGGCCTTGCCGAGCTCTAGGGAGACGGGAGCCGAGCCGCCGCAGCACGTGAGGGCCCCTTCGCGGCGGCCTGGGAACGCGTGGGGCGCGCCCCGAGCAGCTGAGGGAGTGAGGGAGTCGCGGAGGCGGGGAGACGGGCGGGGCCCAGGGAGCGACGGGCTGAGTCCACGCGGGTCCCCGGCGAGACCCCCGCCCGCGCGCCGCGTGCCCGGCCTGTGCTCGCCCACCCGCGCCGGGCGGGAGCGCTGCGGAGGGCGGGAGCGGCGCCGACGAATCCGCGGCGGGGGCGGGGGACGCGGGAGGCGGGAGGCGGGAGGCGGCCGGGGCGGCGGGGACGGGCACGGCGCGGAGGGCTGCGTGAGCCGGGCAGGACAGCGACGCGGACGCCGAGGTGCGTGCGGGTTGGGGCGGCGCGGGGACCGGGGCTGGCGGCGTGGGCGCGCGGCCTCCTGGCCCCACGCGCGGGGTCCTCGGGGGTCCTCGCGGGCGTGGCGCTCCGACGACTGTCCCGGCTTCCCTCCCACGCCCGACCGGGGCGGACTGCGGTCCCCCGACCTTGCTTCCCCTGCGCCCTGCACCCCTCCACCCCCACCCCTCCCGCGCTCGCGCTCCTCCCTCCACCTGCTGGAATCAGACTCGGAAATTGTTTAAAAAAAGAAAAAAGGAGCTGGAGGAATCGGAGTTCGGGAGATGAGGGGACACGAGCGCCTGTGGAGCCGCCGACGCGGATAGCATCGCCCCGCGTGCGGGAGCACGACTCGGCTCGCGGAGGGAGGAAACCGGCTGCTCCCCGGAGCCAGCGCCTCTTCTCCCCGGAGGCTGAGCGGTCCGACTGATGCGGAAACGCTAGAATGCTGGCTGGAATGAGAATCTCCCAACTTTTATTATTTCTCTAATATTAACTGACCCCCACCCCATTCCCGCAGCCCACTTTCTTGGTCCTGTGTAAAGTGAGGAACAGATAATGAAATGCACACACAGAGAAGGCACGTCAACAGGTGTTAAGGGGTTAATGAGTGCAGCGCGCAGTGTCAGCTACTGGGGTGCAGCTGAGGTTGACTGGAGCCTGCCCGCGGGTGTAGACAACACTCGTTCGGCTCAGTGTATGTCTAACCAGCTGTGAAGAGGTGCGATCTGCTGCATTAAAGGAGAGTCTGGGGTAGCTGCTGGACCCCGAGGACCACTCACCTTCAGAGTGAGTAGGTCGCTCCTCACCCTTCTCCGGAATCAACTTGAAGCCCTTTTCTGGGGTTCACTTTAGGGAAGCCCCTGACCATAGCCTCCAGATCCCTTTTCTTTTTTCTGTGTTCTTTCCTCCAAACGTGCCTCTGACTTTACTGTCGCCTTGTAGACCCTCCGGAAGTTGGAAGACAGGTCCATCTTTTCCTGCAACTGCTCTTTTGAAATGCAACAAGAACAGCTAGCCCAGTGAATCATCCTAACCCGTGTTTAGGTGGCTAGAGCTTCACAAGTCGTGATGAATGGGAGTTGTTAAAATTTTAATGCAAAAGCTAAGAAGGGCTGCTGTGTTCAATGGTTAAGATCAGAGTACTCTTCACAGCTTCACAGTCCTGGAGGCTCCTTTTGGTATTTTAGTGTTTTTGGTTTTTTTTTTGTTTTGTTTTGAACTTGGGTCTTTTAACCTTGTTGTGTTTTACCCCAATGTTTTCACTTGACATGTTTTTTGTTTTTCAGTGTGGTGTTAAGGAAATCGTCAGCCATGGATGTATTCATGAAAGGACTTTCAAAGGCCAAGGAGGGAGTTGTGGCTGCTGCTGAAAAAACCAAACAGGGTGTGGCAGAAGCAGCAGGGAAGACAAAGGAGGGTGTTCTCTATGTAGGTAGGTAAACCCCAAGTGTCACTTTGTGTTTATTCGTGACTGGCAGTTTGAGATGATTGATATTCTAAATGCTGACAGTTCTTGATGCTCTCTCCTTTCCATCATCCCTTGTCAAGATGGAATGAGTCACAGGTGTGTGTAGGTAGATGCTTGTGAATGGGTACATTTTAGCTAATAGTGAAAACTGGGAGCACGCTTCTGCTTTTCCACATTATTTTATTATGCTGCCATATTTAGGACTTTGTATTTTTTAAATGTTTCTGAGCATCAGTGTTTGTTTTGGAAGCTAGCTTTTAAAACTCCAAATCTTTTAAAGATTAATTGAGAATATTCTTAATCTCAAAATCATTCATGGGATGTTGATTTCTTTAATTAGGAATAATACTTGCTAATCTGAATGTATTCTGATTTTTAAAGTAAGACTGGTGTGGTCCTCTGGTATGTAAAGAGAGACCTATCTTGGCCCTAAAATGAAGCTGTTCCTTATCTTCTCTGTCACTGTGAATCCTGGAGACTAAGTGCTTGAGGGTGCTCCTAATATATCAGAAATGTTTCCGCAGTTCATTTATCAAATGACACACACATATAAATAATGACATCAGTACTCACAATCTTTATCTAACAGGCTCTCTTGACACATACATTGGTACATTCTGTACTGGGAACTATGTTAAATTGTGTTATTTTACAAACCACTTCAAATTCTTTGGGGGAAGGAATAAATACACATGCACACACACAACCCTGGCTTCTCTCCCCTTCTCTGCTGCTCTGTGCCCTTCCGTGTTCTCTGAGGCCAGCCTGGCAAGAGGAGTCCCAGAGTGGGCAGGCAGGTGGAGGGGACATCGCTGGGTGGCAGGATGAGAGACTTGCCTTGCCTGGCAGGAGGCCTAAGGAGTGAAAGTAGCTGTCTGTCTCCAGCAAGGATCAGTAAGAGAGAACTTTTATCTGAAATGACTTCACCATGTTTCTCCTCAAAGTTCATAGCAGATTTCTTGTTTCTCACTCTTCATAGATTTTTTTGATTTATGTTGACTGAATCATTCCACCAATTTTCTGTAAAGTCTGCTCTTTCCTCCTCAAAAAATCTAAAAAGAGTGTGAGGAGAGGGAAAAATTGGTGACTTAATTTGAAAGTTTTTTGGCAAATTGTGAATTATATCTTTGTAGTTGAAATATGAAATGCAGAATCTGTGACATAGAGGTTATCACCGTCTTTCTCCTCAGTTTTTAAATTCTGAAATTGTAGGCTTCCAACTATTCTTTGATTTCCTTTGCTTGATAACTTTGTATTTTTAAAGGACTTGTGTGTCAGTGTGTATGTGTGTGCATGTATTGCTGGAGATTGAACCCAGGGCCTTCAAAATTAGCTATTCCCTTAGCCCTTCTTTGTTTTGTTTTGAGATAGGATTTCACTAAGTCACTAAGTTGCCTTGGCTGGTCTCAAACTTGTGATCCTCCTGTCTCAGCCTCTCAGAGTGCTGAGAATAATTTTAAGTTGCAAATGTTTACTCCATTAGTTTATAACAAACCCAGAAAGTATTGAATATTAATACATTACACTAGGTAGTGAATAGATTTCATCATCTGAATTATTTACTTGTTTTCATTATTAATAAGAGTTTGGGGAAAGAATGATTTTTCAGAGATTAACTCTTTTTAAATAATAGGTGATTATATAAGTGATAAATAATAGGTAATTTGTTCACCTGTCAATTTTTAACAAATAGTTTTTAATGTATATCATAGTATTTACCAAAGTATGTTTTGTAAGTTACTTACTGGTTGTGTGCTGAAGTTTAATTAAAAGATGAACATGTAACATACGATTTAGGATGAAAAATGACCGTATGAAAACACAGTAGCATATTCCAGGAGTAGGCAAACATTTTGGTAAAGGATCAGGTAGTAAGTATGTTGAATCATAACATATTGGTCTCAGCTACTCACACCTGCTGCTGAAGTGTGAAAATGACCACAGATGGTAACTAAGGTGGTAGTTTCAATAAAACTTCATTTACCAAAACAGAGAGTGTGCTGGAATTAACCAATAGGCTGTGGATGACTACTAAATGGACAAAACATGGACTTGACATCACATAAACCTGAGTTTTAGTTCAGCGTACTTCACATCTTTAATACTTTGGAGAAGTTACTTAATTTTTTGAGTATCATTTCCTTCATGGGTAAAATAAAATATTATTAGAAAAATGTAACTTACTTTGCAGAGTTTTTATGAGAATGTCACATACAGCAAGATATATGGTTACACAAACCTTTGTATATAGGAACTATTGTAATTATTATCAGATAAACTTCTAACAGAACAGTTATAGTCAACTTGATTTATTTTTTATCCTTCATTATAAAAATGATAAATAATAACTAGTTTGGAAGATTAGAAGTGATTAAAGAAAATTTTACAATTGCACTTATGGGTGAAGAAGTTTGAGAGAAGTCTCATAAGTAATCCCATTCATTTATAAGAATTTGGCAACTACCTTAAAACAAATTGAAGAGTTCCCATGATAATCAGTGTGAATACTTTTTCCTCTGTGAAATATATGTACACGAATTTTCAATCAGCATATTTCAATTATTGGACAAAAATTCAAATCACTCAGGAGTTGCTCAGAAATTATACACTGAGAATGAAATTCAAATATAGAAAAATATTTCAAGTATATTAATAGGTGCAAGAAAACATCTTCAAAAACTCTTTTAGTATCATTCTGTTCAGAAAAGTGATCGACAATGTGATTAATCCTGAACTCTCAAGTCAAAAAATATATTTCAGGAGAGGTATTTAGCTCAGTGGCTTAAGCTCCTACCTGGCAGGCACGAAGTCATGAATTTGATCCCCAGTACAAAAAACAAAAATCACCTTAGGAAATTGAGAAAGTCAGCAGAACACATGAAGCAATAGTTTAGATGAATTCTCTCAAATCCCAGTGTTACTCGTGACCTCTACTCTGCATCCTTGTGAGGCTGCAAGAGACTAGACAGAGTAAAGGGAAATACTTGGCTCTGGTGTCTTTTTAGCCTTGATTATCTTGATATTACTGTAGCCACTTGATACCATAGGTGTTAATTGGAAATTTCTCATGAGCTATGAATGGCTAGTAAACAGTTATGATAGCAAATAACAGGTCAACTAGTTTGATACATGGCAGTTTCCCTGGGCCTCTTGCTTACTTGCTTTTGATTGAAAATGTGTTGCATGGTCCATGATTTAACCAAAGATCAGAATCTCAGCTACTAAGGCAGAGAATAAAAGTCAAACCAACCACTAAACCATTGTGTTTTCCCCCTATTTACTTTCTTTATAAAATATGGGTACAGGAAATGGTAGAAATGAGAAAATTCTCACTATATATTGTTCTATTCTACATAAATTCTTATGTACCATATCTACTTTATGTACCATAGTTAAGAAACACTAGGCCCCTAACAACATGACTTAAATTTCTGTTTTCATAGTATATAGCTGGGAGCAATTGCATAAAGTACAAACTTTACTGCTAGCTCTTCAACCTCCAAGTTAATTACATAACTATCAGAAATCCATTGTAGCCAGTGAATGTATCATTTTTTAAATTTTCATCGGTGATTAGTCAATTTACATCTGTTACCAAGTTCACCTAGACAGCACTTTGTGTAGTTTGGTTGTCTGTTTGTTTCCTGGTAATAAAAATCCATGAGTTATTTTACAGAGGTCCATAATAGAAAGAGGAAACTAGCTATCAAAGATGAATGTATAGCAAAGAAAAACAGTGAGAATACTGAATTATAATTTGAATCGAACATGACTTGTAGAAGAAATAGCTGACCATGTTGATGTGGTCCCTACTGTAATTCAGAAGCCTGTAGGTAAACTCTCAAAAGAACTTACTAAAGGTAAGTGTGCTGGCATACATGGAAGAATGACAGATCGGGTACTGTGGATCAGAGAACGTGGTGGCACCAAACACTGAAAGTTAACAGGACCCACAGGGATAAATCACAACACTCATTGCAAAGGCTGTCAGTGTGGAAGGTGACCGACCCACATTTAGAGACAAGAATGCCAGTTCTGTTGAAATATGAACACTGTCCACCCCACATAGGAAGTTATGCAGTAAAAATAACTTCATGTGATACATTTTCATAAAGAAGCAGAGCACTTTCCTTCTTAATATTTTAAGTTACGATGAAGGAAAAAATATTACTTTACTATTAAATTGATATTATTTTTATTACTTTATACATGACTAAGAATTTTTAATAGCATGACAAAAATTTTAATAGTTATTTTTAATAGTTTGACAATTTTTTGTTTTGATTTTGGAACCAGGTATCAAACTCAGCACCTATATGGCTAACCCTTGACAAAAATTTTTAAAGATCATGAAACAATCAATACTTTCATTAATGATTTAGTCATAATTATTCTTACAATAACTAAGATTACTTACACAGTTTCATCTCCATTTGCACATTTTACAGTATCATAGAATCAGGTGAGACTAGGGTTGCCTGTAAAATACCACATACCACATATGTGTAAAATGCTATGACACTGTCTTGGTTACTTTTCTCTCATTGCTGAAGCAAAATATTCAACATCCATAGTTAAAAGAGGAAATGTTTGTTTAGCTAACAGTGTTTGGAGGTTTCAGTCCATAATTGACTGGCTCCAAGGCAAGGTGACATATGGCAGAGGGGCAACATTTTATGCATGAAGAACACAGCAAAAGCACCAAGAGAGCCAGACAGGGCTCTTTTTGTCTCCACTGTATCCCGTCTACTGGGGTTAGGATGGTGCCAGTCCAGTCAGTGGACTGATGCAGCAAGCACCAACCCTTGTCCCAGTACTCTTAATCCCAGCATTGCACTATGAATCAGTCACATGCTCTAGATTGAGCCGTCTCCAAAAAGCTTGACTTTTTGCATGAGGCCTGGGCACATCTCAACACAAATCATAACAGATATGTACTTTAACATATCTAAACAATTACACCTTTATATTTATTAACAGATACGACTTGGTGATTTTTCTGTGGTTTAAATTGTACATTATTATTATTATTTTTGAGAAAAGTTTTCACTGTGTAGTTCTGGCTGGCCTTGAGTTCACTGGTGTAGCCCAGGATGGCCTTGAACTCACAGTGATCCTCCTGCCTCAGCCTCCTGAGTGCTGGGATTACTGTGTGTGCCACCATGCCTGTCCTTTTGTGGTTTAAACTGAACATCCCTTTACAAGTATTATATGTGAAGAATGATAGTTGTCATTTAATAAAGTATATTAGATATTATCCACCATTTTAAGAATTTTTATATGAATTATTTTCTTTGATCATCCTATTAAATCAGTGATACATATTTGATGTTCTTATGATGATGTGAAGATTTACGTCCAGATACTCTGAATCCAAAGCTCACATTCTTAATCACAAAGCTTTAATTTGTTTCATTTGTATTGAAGGTCTTTATATTCAAATAGAAAGTTCTTAAGTGTATTTAAATGTTTTATTAAGTGGAGAAATTTTATTTGACTACTTTGTAAAATCTAAGTTAATATAATATGATGCATGCAAAGTTGACTTTGCATTTATGTATGCAAGTATTTATGTATGTTCAAAACTATTCAATGAATATTTTCCATATTTTCTTTCAGATCATATTATTGATCATATTATTCAGATAATAAAATGTACTTCTACATTGTAATAAATTTGAAACTACTAGGACTATCTCAGATCAGTGTTTCTCAAAATTTGATCCATGAATTGCCTGTGAGATCATGAAGGTTGTTAAAAATACAAATAATTGTACTCTGCATTTATTGAATACCTGGGCTCTGGCTTAATAATCAGCATTTTTAAACCAGCACTTTATGCTTCAAACTCTGTTGCCTTACATTCCAGTTTATTTGAGAATTACTAACTCACTTTATGCTACTAATTTTACTGAAAAGGAAATTGAGGTTCCCTTATATTCTTTTCTTTTTTGGTTTAAAAAGTGCATATATGTATTTTTGTAAGGATTGCTCAAAACTTAGTGCCTTTTGCAAATGGAGATTGGTAACTATCTTGATATTCCTCTATAGGTTTAACTCATTCTCAGATTTTATGTCCCCATTTCCTTATACTCTTTCTTTTTGAGAGAAATTCAGTTCTAAGAAAGTTCTCAATTGAATGTCAAATCTGTTGTTATTTTCTTCAAAAATATTTTAGTTAAAAAACTGGCATGATTTATGCTGAAAAATCCAGGACTAGAGCGGTCATAAAAAATGTTATTAAACTTAATTTTATTTTATATATATATATATTATATATATATATATATATATATATATATATATAAAATTGCAAACTTAGCATAATAGTCAAGGATCGGAGAAAATTCTTGTCTTACATACCACATTTGATTGTGAGTATAGCCTATTATTACATATGTGGTATGTGACATTAGGCAGATCATTTAACTAGATTTTTAACTTCCTCATTTCATGAGCATAATACACGTCTATTACATGGATGTAAAGGGACTAACCAAGATTTTATAAAATAATCCCTTTTACAAAAGAGGGATTTGACAAATGTTAGTACACTTTTTCCTTCTCCCTCCTCTTTTGTTTCATATGTTAACTAATCTCCCTGTTGTGCTGTGCTTTTACAGCTTTTAATTTGTAATATGCAATCCTCACAAGGCCCTGGGGTTACATCCCTCCCTGCCCCTGTAAGTTGGTATGTGATGTGGAATCAGTGGCATAAAGTTATCACTGGGTGCTAAAACGCTTTTGAAAAACCAGATTTGTTTTTAACTAATACATATAAAGCACAAAATTTGCACACATTAGTGGGAAACATGTGATAGCTGTGTACCCTGTGTAATCAGGTTACACATAACTAGCTTCTCAGAGCACCTCTCAGTTCTTTATGCTGGAAACACCCAATTCCCCTTCCATTGGCTTTTTGAAATAGTACGTAGTTTCTGCTCTAGTTACCCAAGTGGGCAACAGCAAGCTAGAATTTATTCCTATCTAATTGCAGCTTGACCCATTGGTGAACCTTTCCCCATCCCTGCTTCCTCCTAAAACATTGATATTAATTGGTGTGGCTGCTTTGTTATCTTCTATTGGTTGTAGTGGTTACTGGATCTCTCATTTATTTATTTTTAGGTGTTTTTCCTCTGGGGATATCATTATATATGGGCTTCCGAAGAGTGAGATTTTTAATTTGTTGTGTTTCAAACTGGCTAACCAGTCACTTAAAGACAGCCTGAGACTTACGTTTTGAATTTGTTTATTTTTACAGGCTCCAAAACCAAGGAGGGAGTGGTTCATGGTGTGACAACAGGTGCGTTCTGAGAGGATTCTGTCCAGGGAGAATATAATTTCTAGTGGCCAGTGTGGGCGGAGCATTTATCATCCAAAATGTAATTGTAAATAAACACAGAGTACAGAGAAGCACGCTAAACGAGCATCAGTCTGATTTAAACTTAATTATTTTTCAAGCATTTAAAAAATATTCATGATAAGTAAATAAGATATATATTTACTTGTCAAGAATGATGACTTAGAAGTGACCCACTTTATTTATAGAATTTGGTCATTTGAAAGTTCTGAACTGAAGTTAACAAACTGCTATCATAAATAAAGTGTAAACACTCACAGTTTTTGAAGGATTAAAGTAAAATTTTCTGTAGAACATATAACAGTATTCTGATCATGATCTATACTGATTAATTATGTTTCCTTTATGACTCACAGTACATTTTAGAAAATACCCTGGGGATGATTTTAAATCTTTTGTTATATTTAGCTGTATGTGGCATAATGTCACCAGGACTCTGAATAGGTCTATATGGAGATTTACAACAAAGAAATAGTAGTAATGATAAAAAAAAAATGATGGCAGGGACAGAACTTAAGACGAGGAAGAGGAGGAGAAGGAGCTGGGCATTGTGGTGTATGCTAGTAATACCCATTACAAGTCAGGTCCAATATGGGCAACATAGGGATTTAGTAAGACCCTGTCTCAAAACAAAACGTTTACGAAAGCTAAAGGTGTCACTCAGTGCAAACACCTGGATTCAATTCAGTTCTCAGTACTGAAATTTAAAAAAATCAAAGTAGAATAAAAATTTAACAGATTAGCCCACAAGAGTTGATAATTGAGTTTTATGTTGTATGATACTGTTTCTTGACAAATATGGTGAAACCAGAGATGTAGTAACAAATATACTTCATATAGCCATAAATCATTAAACATAATGCTTCATGAAAATAACATGCATGTATCATGGAGTTATAAAAGAGATATAGGGAAAATGAAATGAGCAAGATTAATGCATTGTTGTGGTTATGTTCATAAACATTGGAGTTAGACCTCTTTAGTTCAAATTTCTGTCAGTTTTATAACATCTGGGTGATATGATTTCCATGTCTAAAGGAATTAAGTGAACCTAAAAATGCACAAACTACTTAAAAACCGGAAGCAAATTTTGTGATTATTTCCTTCTAGTGAACCCTTATTGAGCAACAGTTTAATTACAACACTTAAGAAAAATATTTCATGTCTTTTTAATGCATATTTTTATAAGAATGAAGCTGTGAAAATAAAGCAGAATGCTTTGAAAACTGTTTTAGAAGCTAATTACGTAGCTTTCATTTGCTCTGTTGCAATTCAATATGTAACACAGAGAACTTGACCAATAAATGTGCCGTGATGCCATCTAGAAGCTTCTGTGAATGATGGTAAGCAAGGTTTTATTAAGAACTGGCTAGCAGAGGAGAAGACTGCTGTCTGAAGAGTTTCAACCCAGATAAATGGTGTTCTGTTGAGAGAGCTGAAACCATGTGATTTAGATAGAGGGTATCATGTGACAGTGTTTCAGAGCCAGTGCCAAAAAGTAAAGAAGTTAACTACTAATAGTTTTGTCTAACAGAGATAATGGAAATAAGGTACAAAAATAACTGTCAGCAAGTTTGGCAATTTTTAGTTTTCAGAATGCCATACTGTAAATGGGTCTGCGTGTGTGTGTGTGTGTGTGTGTGTGTGTGTGTGTGTGTGTGTGTAAGAGAGAGAGAGAAAGAGAGAGAGAGAGAGAGAGAGACAGACAGACAGACAGACAGAGAGAAAGAGGGAGAGAGAGAAAGAGAGATAAAGTTTTTTTTATAATAAAGCAACATTTTACAAAATATTCTGAGGATAATAGCCTATAATGTTTCTGTAATTTTATAATTTTGTAACACTTTGCATATTCCATTCTTTCTTCAGCGTGTTAGAGAATCTGAGCTATTGTATAGTAGAAAAAATTTTTTTGGGTAACATAAATCCAGAGTTTTTCAAAGGTATTTGACTGTTGAAATTTTGTTTCATTTAGTACAGGGTAAAATGAAGCTACTATTGCATAGAAAACTATGAGCTTACTGTTAGACAGCAAGGTCTTTGTGTTTGGTCACAGGCAATAAGTACAGCTGGACCAGTCAAGGACTCTGTTAAGAGTACTGCATTGGTCAGCTTTCCTGTTGCTGGGACAACATACCAAGAATTTGCCACTTAAAGGAGGGCAGGTTTATTTTAGATCACAGTTTCAGAGGGTTCAGTCCATGGGCAGCTGGCTCCAAGGCAAAACTTCATGGTTCAAGGGTGTGGTAGAGCAAAACTGATCAATTCATGGCAGCTGGAAAGCAGAACACTGGGAAAGAAGCAGGAGGGATTGGACCAGGAACTACATATAGTCCCTAAAATCATGTCCCCATGACCTACCCAGATGCACTCAGAAGTGTGCTTGTCTAATGTCTCAAGCCGGTCACCTTGACAGTAAAGATTAAATGTCACAAATACAGAATCAAATAGGCTGTTATAACAAGTCTGGCTATTGAAGGAACCAGCTGCAGTGAGGACTGTTCCTTCTCAGTATCGGATAAGTGAATGACTTAACGTGTTACATAAGGCTGTTTAATATAAAATCCAAATTCTGGTTACGGAGATAAGTAAGTTTATGATACTTAAATGACTGGTTGTTATGCTTGATCTAAAATATTTTTATAGGTACACCATAACTGCTAAATAAATACTTGTTGTTGTTAGTAGTCTTCATTATATGGTATGTAACACTTACTGTTGCTAAAAGAATAATTTCTTCAGGATTTATCCCAGTATCTGTTTTGCAAAAATGTAGATGTCTGTAAGTTTAAGCCAAGAACTTTTAACCAAAAAAAAAAAAAATTAAAATAAATTCTTCTAGTTAGAAAAACTGAAATTCCCAGTCTAAGTCCTGGCTTTTTGACCTCCAGGAAGTTATTATTATCAGTTGTAAACTTAATGTATCATATTAAAGCAGTATATGAGAATATATTTATTTGAAAGATAAATTTTTGAAGAAATTTTAGAAATGGTAACATGTAAGTTACTTGTTCTTCATGTAAGTATGATGTAAAAGAAAGTCCTATTATTGGAGACTTTCTGAAAGTTTCACTTCTTACAAACAGAAATATATCAGACCGTAATGATCCAAGTAGATTTTCAGCATGTTATTATCTGATATCTGCACTATCATTTATATGTTAACTCAAAGCTAGATCTTAATTTTATAATTTTATTTATTGTCAGATTAAATTTACCATCTCTTATGAAAGTGTCACATTTATTTTTTTGAAATTTTATTTTTAACTTAGCTAAAATGAAATGTAAATATAATTATTTAAAATGAATGTACACTTTACAAACAAATTCCTCTTAGTGAAACCAAAGTATTTGTTGAGTAACTGTTATAAAATAATATGAGGATTAATAAAGCAGGATCCCATATTTTAAAGAGCTCAAAGTAGGGCAGATAGAGGTAGAACAATTGAATGAACAGTTATGATGCAATCTAAAATCTCAACATGAGAAATATATTTAAAACTTCATAGGATCATAGAAGGGCAGAGAAAATCATTTGTTGTTAGTTTTTTTTTTTTTTTAATAACACAGAATGTGGCTTTTGAGCTCGGTTTTAACAAAGGAATTGAGTTTCATGAATAAACAGAAATGGAATAAAGGCTTTTGGCCAGAGGAAGCTGTGTATACCAAAATGAGAAAAATTGGTGAATTGGGAAAAAATGTAAGCAAATTCAAAGTATTATTGTCTCTATTGAGTAGGAGGGAAATAGCCACTTTGATTCTGGTTATTTTTATAGTATTTTATTCTGGTATTTTTAAAGGTGTGTCCTTTAAAAATAAATGCAGTATACTAATATGACTTTGTCTTTTCCCCTTATAAAATGTCAATGAGTAGAGAGATAGTCTAAAAAGATTTTAAATGAGAGAAAAGGGTTTTGAGGTCAGTGAGAAAGCTATTAGAGAAATCAGTGTTTTAAAATATGTCTATTATTGCTACCTGTAAACTCTGTCATTTTGTAATGTAGCTAAATTATTTTTACAATAATAAAACCTAGTAAGATTATAGTATATGCTACTGTGCAGTGTTTGTGTGTTAAACCAATAGATTAAAATTTATACATACACAAAAGATTATGTACATATGTAAAATTCATGGCTGGCAGAAAGACTATGAGTCTGTAAAAAAATCAAAACCTAATTTTGTCTTGCTTTGAGAAAATTTTCATCTCAAGCAAAATTTTCTATTCATGTTCTTGGAAAATAAAATGACAATTTGAAACACATAATTCACTATATTTAAAGGATCAACATCCCAAGAATGTTTAAAAACATAAAATCGCTAGTACAGCTTCAGTGGTATTTAAGTTGAGCTTAAATTGTGATTAGCTGTCCCTGTTCAGGCAGTGTCAGGCTGGCCCTAGAAGTCGTGGGGTGTCAGCCAGAGGCCAACCCACACTGTTCTAACCCAGTGGATGCATAGAGAGTGGCCACTGAGGTGGCTGCTTTCTGGTTTTAGATTGTCTAAAACCCTAACCACTTCAGGCATCCCCACAGCACCTAAACTAAAGAGTAAACCTGTCCTAAATAAGCCATTTCAAAACACAATGCTTTGCCTACACTGTTGGGTCACTGTCCTCTCTAACCGGTGACATGGAATCTGTCCAGTGTAGCAGTCACATGGAAACAGTTACCAGCTGGCATCATGTAAGGCTTTGGTTTCTTCCAACTGGTCTGAGAGTGTTCATGAATAACACGAAAAATGTCTTTGTTTAGGAGGGTATTTCTCAAAAGCAAAAAATTTTGAGTTGACAGAAGATAAAGAAAAGAATGACTTTGTGTGGCAAAATGAAAAGGCAAACGTGATATAAATGTAGATAAAAGGTGGAGATGCCCACTTTTCTGTGGTACGGATGATGTAGAGAATACATGAGGAGAGATTGGGTTATTTTTGTAGTGACCTGAAAATTATTAAAAGAATTGAATATCTTGTCTTTAGATACTTTCTCGTTAATTGAAAAACTCTTCAGTTAATTGAAAAAAATTTGCAACTAGTCTTCTTGTATGTCATTTTGTGAAAATAATGTAGAAAGATTGATTCAGCAATTAAGTACAATTCTGTGACATAATGGGGATTTTTGATATGGTAAAACTTGTTTGTAAATCCCACACGTACTACTAATAGTCTACATTACTGACTGAAATACGATATCATATTTTTGTTTCATGAAAGAGCTTTAACATGCTCAATAAATCTTAGTTTTAACACTGAAGTCTGGCTATCTGTTCCCATGAAAGTTACTGGAAGTCAATCTTATTAAGAACTCTCATAAAAGGAACAAAGTTATTTCACAAATGTGTTCTGTTGTTTATTTCTGACATACATGAATAACATTTACATGCTCTTATGTGAAATGCATAGAATCAAATGGCTCAGAACCTTTTTTGGATTTGAAGTATTTGTATTTATATAATAAGATACCTTGGGGATGGGATGCAAATCCTACCACAAAACTCATTTGTTTCTTATGCTTTTATGTATATGCCGTGGAGGTAACTTGATGTAATATTTTTAATAGTTTGGGGTTCAGAACAAGATTTCATGATGTGGAGTTTTCTGTCTGTGGTGTCATTTGGTGCTCAGAAGTTTCAGATTTTAGAGTATGTCAGATTTTGAAATCTTGGATTGGAGCATTCAACCATTAGTAGTAGTACAAGCTGTCTTATTTACAAGACTTGGTGAGCCGGGGATTTAGCTCAGTGATGTAAGAACCTACCTGGCACACACGAGGTTGTGAGTTCAATCCCTGGTACCAAAAAAAAGACTAGTGAAAGTGAGCTTGCTGACTGAGACCAAGGAGATAGGATTGAGATGGAAAGATGTATGTATCATGCTGAGATTGATTAGACTGTAACTGTACCTGTGGGCTCTGCTTTCTATACACTGTCCTTCATGTAAAGCAGGACCAAACCTCTCATAGCTGTATGTTCATGGCAGTTAGATAAGAAACACCTTGTATTATCTGCATAACTGCGATGGACAATCTTAGCAGAGTTCGTGTTTGCCTATGCCACGTTCAATTAAAATTCTTGTACATTTTGTTTCTTCTGACTCCTCCATTGTCTATGATGTGTGTAGATACACATGTCAAGATGTTGAAGGCGAATGGAGGTAGGCTTATTTAGTCTTTGTCATTTTACCCAAATTTAATACATGTATTTTTTTTTTTTAATTTAGTGGCTGAGAAGACCAAAGAACAAGTAACAAATGTTGGAGGAGCAGTGGTGACAGGCGTGACAGCAGTGGCACACAAGACGGTGGAGGGAGCTGGGAACATTGCAGCTGCCACTGGCTTTGTCAGAAAGGACCAGCTGGGCAAGGTATGGCTGCCCGTGTTTTACGTTATATTTGTCAGTTCTTGAGGTCACAGTTCATTTTCTCACAAGGCAAGTGGCAGGAATAAGATGTTTACTGTGGGAAGGGTTTCCTGACCCTTCCTCCATAAAACAGTACTGCCTCTAGATGGGTCTGGTTTTTTGGTGATATTAATCCAGAGAAATGTGCAAATTGTATAGTCATCACAATTGTTTCAATTTCTAAAAGAAAGCTAAGGAATTGAACAGTGTAGCAATGCTAAAAGGGATGGTGACATTTCAGAAAGAATGAATGCTTTCATGTGAACTCTGAATCTTGCAATTTCTCCTTGTTGGAATAACAAAACTCTTTGTGCTTAATCTCTGAATTTCTAAAATGAGTATCTTACTTTGATTCCTGTGTAATGATATCATCTCTATTAAATGACATGTTTGCATATCACACAACAGCTCTTTATCAAGTATATGTTGTGGGAACTAGGAGGCAAAAAATGCCCCAGAAACTTGATTTGGAAATATTCTTAAACTTCTAGAATTTTAACTTTGCATTTCTTTTTTTTTTTTTTTTTTGTCTTTTTCATTTTTACCAGTACCAGGGATCAAACTCACGACCGTCTGCTTGCAAGGCAGGTGCTTATACCGCTGAGCTAAATCCCCAGCCCCAACTTTGCATTTCTTGATAAATATGAGACCTTAGTAAGTTTACAGAGAAAGCTTTACCTTTTTCATTTTATATGTGAAAGCATTAGAATATGAAGTCCAGCTAGAAGATGAAATTTTAGAATTTTCATGATCACAAGAACAGGATGATTTTGTCTTTTTCCTAGCCATATTATTCCTTGAATGAAAGTATGCCTTCACCTGATGTCCTCCCTCTGCCTGTAAAATTCTCTCCTGAGTCAGGTTATTTCCCTCACTTCCTCATATACTCTGTTTTTTGTTAAATGACACCTTCATGGTGAGTACCATCCTGATCTGGTTAAAATTAGAACCATTCTCAGTCTCCCTTTTCCTCCTCCCCGCCCCTTACTATCTCTGGCCAAAGTGTCTGCTGCCTTTGAAAATAAGGTTTTACTTATTTTTCTATGTGCTGTTTATTTTATTTTTCCCCTTCTACATTATAAGCACCATGAGGATGAATTGCATTTATTTAGTTGCTGTGAGCTAGATGTCTAGGTATCTCCATGTCACCCAAGAGCCTCATGGGCAGGGATTTTGGAAGGTATGGGATTATGGGGCTTAGGGCTGATGCTCTCAGGCGATGTTGCCCAGTCTGCTCTGACTCCTTGGGTTGCATGTGGCTTGGAACGGTCTGTCGCCCTCTCTGGTTCTTCCCCTCTCTCTCTCTCTCTCTGTTCCGTCTGCTGTGTATGAGCAGGTGTATCTATCATGCTGTCCTGTCTGGGCCTTTTAAGGTTTGAGTTCCAGGTATTTTGTCTCAGCAATGAGGGAAGTAACTAAGACATGTGAATTAATAGAATGACTTTCTGAGCCTTTTTATTTTTATCACTGTATGCTTTTGATACGCATTCTACTTGTTTTGGGAAGCTGGTGACTTTCTGAGTTGTTTATACTCATACCTATGGTATAGGAACACTGACTGTTCCAACTATTCAGAAGTTGGGATCAAAATGGTTTTGGAATAAATACTATGGAAACTCTGAGCAGAGAGTTTTGATTTGTAGGCAGACCTCTCTGGATCATCTGTACTCATGTAACCCTAAGCAGCAGGATTACCTTGATGGCTCTGTGTCAATAATAACACACAGTGCTAGAAACCCATGATGTATTTAGATTTTCACATATAGTGACATTGTATTGTGGGAAATAGACTGTTCTAGAGAAGTGCTTTAGCTAACACTTGAATGTAGGATTGATGACAGTTGCGATCTTTTGTCCACAATATGTTTTTGCAAATAATCTTAACTGTGCTAATAATCATACCAATTCTTATTTCCCATTTGAAATTATATGTCTAACTTTATAATATTTTAAAAGTTGGATGAGATCTCAGAAGTATGGAGATAGGTGATCCGTTTTATGTCCCAAGTTTGTTGGACAATCTAAAAATTGGCTTAGTGTAGTATTTTGATTTTGTAGATGAGAGAATGATATAAATATATACTGATTCTACTGATATAAATATACATTGATAGAAATAAATGTACTGTGTGTACAGATGAGGCAACTTAAATGCATGGAGGGGAAGTCAGTATTCAAGGTTGTAGAGCCAGTTGAAGTAGTCTGGACATCTGGAGTGTTTGTCCTTATGCTATGACACTTCCTTGACCAGTAAAACTGGATAAATGATTTCAATTGAACATGTATTTGGTTGAGATTATAAAGAAAACAGGAAAATGTACCATCTCCACTTTTGTCTCCATTTAAAATACTCAAGGTAAATTGCAAATGTGAAGTGAGAGTGCTTCATCTTTTTACAAAATTCAGCTTGTTTTCTACCTTCCTAAAAATATTTCACTTAATTTGGTATTTTAAAGCATAAAGCTAAACAATGTGATGAAATTAACCATTTGGAGATAGTTCTCTTATTGCATACTGCAGGGTCCTACAATTTTGTATATGAAAGTAAAGTTGTGTTAGAAACTGCAGCTTAGCTGTGGAAAAACCATTGGACTGGGAGCTGAAATAACTGGTCTTCTTACCCAGCTTGGTCACTAAATGGCTGGATGGCTTCTTGCAGCTTTCTTAGGGCCTTTTCTCAAATAATAAGGAAACTTTACTAGAAAATTGTTAAAGCCCAATTTAGCAATAAGGCTTTGAGATTCTATAATAATTCAAGGAATTCTCTAATAAACACCTACGATTGTGGCCTCCTCGACGGGGTGACAAAATTCTAGAGAGCTTCAACAAAACCATCAAATTATTCATTTTATGAAATCTAAAATAACTTAATATTTCTCTGACTGTGATCAAAATGATCCTGTTGAATAGAACTAAGCATTTCTACCTTTTTTTTTCTCCTTTAACTATTTGGTAATGGCCCCAAAGGGAAATCATTTATTTGAGCAATATTGACTGCTTACTTCGTACAGGAAACATGGAGGAAAAGGGATGTGGTAAGCAGGGCTGGTGGACAGCTGGCTTGTAGAACAGATAGTGACTGTGCACTTTCCCAGGGCTTGGTATCTCCTAATGTCAGGAGCTCCACACCCTGCACCAGGAGGGCATTGGCTTCCCCACCGCTGTGTGCTCTTTGGAGATACAGAATTCAGCACAACTGTTCCCTGGCTGATTCCCTCCCTCCCTCCCTCTCCTGCTCCTTCTCTCTCTCCTTCTATTTTCTTTGTATGTTTTCTTGCCTCATTTTTTTAGAAAACAAGAGCTTATAGTACTTCATTTTGATTTTTCTCTCTTGATGTGCTAAATCTGTTTGGGATTCACTTTGGTGCACTCTACTTACTTTTGATGTTAACGGAAAGATATAATCATAGGTCAAGTCTTTTCTTCCAGCTTTATTAAGATACAATTGATAAATAAAAATTGTATTTTTTATGGAGTGCAACATGAAAAAAGTTTGTTTTGTTGTGGCCTCTTACATGTTAGGCAAAGGCTTTATTGTGGAGCTGTCTCCCCAGTCCTTGATATTGTGATGTAAATATGCATTGGGCAGTGTTGTAATAATCAAGATAATAAACATGTCCATCATGTCACATAATTATCTTTTTCTTTTTTGTGGTGACATTTAAGAGCTACTCTCTTAACAAATTTCCAATATGTAATGTAGTATTACTAACTGTATCCCTCGTTCTAGATCTCCAACAAACTGAAACTTTTTACCTTTTGAAGCTATTTTCTTCCATCTCTCAGTCTCTGGTCCTACTTTCTGTTTTCATAGTTTGGATTTTAGGTTTCACGTTGAAGAGAGATCATGCAAGATTGGTCTTTTATGCCTGACTTATTTTTCTTCGCGGAATGTCTTCAAAGTTCATCCATGCTGCAGCAGATATAAAGATTTCCTACTTTTAACACTTACTAGTACTACACTGTATGCATGTGTAGCACGTTTTCTTTACTTATTTATCTGTTGATTGACAGAGATTATGTATCTTGGCTGTTGTGAATAATTCCATGGTGAACATGGGAGTGCAGATCCCTTTTTTCTTTTTTTGATAGAAACCATTCCAAGGGATCTGAGGTGATATTTCATCGTGATTCTAAATTATGTTTCCCTGATTATTAGTGATTTGAGCATTTTTAAAAGACAGGTCTTGCTATGTAGCCTGTGCTACCTTGAATTTACAGGGTAGATTGCCTGCCTCACCTGCCTTAGCCTCCTGAGTGTTGGAATTCCAGCCATGAGTTATCATACCTAGTTCTAATTGCCTATTTTAAAATCAGGTTTATTTTCTTGGTATTGATACATTTGAGTCTCTTCTATGTGTTAGATATTAGTCCCTATCAAATATATGGTTTGCCAATATCTTCACAAAGTATATCATGTCTTCCTTTTTGATTGTTGATTGTTTTCTTTGTTCTACAAAAGCTTTTTGTTTTAATGCAATCTAATTTATCTATTTTTGCTTCCATGGCCTGTGTTTTTGTAGTCATGAAAAAGGAAAAAGACAAAAAAAAAAAAATCATTGCCCAGACCAATCTCAAGACGCTGAACTTTTAAATTTTCTTCTAGTAGATTTATTGTGTTAGGTGTTGTGTTTAAGTCTTTAGTGCATTGTATTTGGTGTGAGAAAAGAGTCCAGTTTTTTCTTCAATATGTGGCTGTACATAATTTACAATACCATTTGTTGAAGAGATTGCCCATTTCCCAATGTATGTTCTTTACATCTTTGTTTAAAATCACTTGATTGGGTGTGAATGTATTTGGGATTTTTTATTCAGTTCCACTGAATATTTGGCTGTTTTTATGACAGTAAAATAGCATTTTGATTATTATAGCTTTGTGGTATTTTTGAAATCAGGTGGTGTAATGTGTCCAGTTAAATATCTATCATATGGCTTTTCAGTTACTTGTTCAGATCACTTTGAGT